CAGAATCGACTACCGACTAAACACCATCGAGCTCCACGCACCGGCTAGACGAAACCTACGGTACAGCATAGTGCGCGTCGAAAGTTCGTCTTCGCCGGTACCCGTCCCAATGATAGGATGGGATTTCATCCCCAGGAAAATCCCGACGTCTCGAGATACCGTGGGCGGCGCACAGAAGCCACTTTGCGCCGGCATGGATAAGTCCTGCGTATTTCTGCCGCTAGATAATCATGTGTTCCGCTTACGGACTGGAACAACAGTTAGACAATGAGATTTTGATCTGGAGTCTTGTGACGGTACTCACGCTCAATGGAACTCCGGTGACCAGGTAAGCCTTGAACTCATTTATGCATCTAATGCAATAATCAGAGACCGAAATCGGCTTCTGGAAATTTATTTAATAGAAAGCAAGAAATATCAATGATTTATCGTTTGAAAATGAATGTAGGTAGGTATTTAAGATGAAATGTAAAATATGAATTCCATTTGAAATTTACAGTCAAAGGATACTTTTTTAGGTAGCAACTGAAAAGGAAAAATCTATCTACGCAAACGCATCAGCGCCTTTGGGAATACGCTCTTCAATTCTTCAAAGTAATTTTGGGTATGATGGATTTTTACCTCTCTGAAGTAAGGTTACGTTTAGCTTTAACTCAGGATTATTGTTCAGTTGTACATATATGAGTCAATTCAGTGATGTTTTAAGAAGTAATTACTTTTAAAAGGCTTTAGGTATTTTATAAGGTTTTCCTTTTGTTAATTTCTCCTCTAAACTACAACGAGATATGAGTGTGCGTATATACATAAAACATTACAGATTCACCCAATATTAAATCTTAATTCTTGTTGTACTTAGATGCTATGTTTACAAAATTAGTGCAAAAAAGTTCCCGGCGGTAAATTACATTAATTTTTTTCATAGACGGATCTTCGCGCTCGCACTTGGTGTTAAGTGATTACTAGAGGCCGTTGATTTCAATTATTATGTGATAGCTGCCACCCTCCTCCTGGTTACTTGAGGATTCAGTCTCAATTTTTTATTATAAATTTATATACTATTATATATTATATGTTGAATCTAATTATCTAGTATAGCATCTGTTCCACACTTCAAATCTGAACGCATTACTGCTTCGCGGCAAACATAGGTAAGCTAGTAACAGTCTTAGTAACAGTTATCTATCTCTATATAACTAGTCAGGTCATAAGTATTGTCACACAGTAAAAACTTTTCTTTTAGAATGCTGGCCACAAAAAAGCTTATTGAATTCGAATTTCGAATTGTTCATGAAAATAAAAATGTATACTTTTAGAATTTTACTCATTTTTAAATATGGAGTGGACGCTTAAAGAAGACTGTGTTGCAGTTATTGCGTTGCATCGTTGCGGTTACGCGCCAATTCAAATTTTTAACATACTGAAAAATTTGAATATAACCAAAATATTCGTTTATCGTACCATCAAACGATACAATGAAGACTCTAGTGTAGATGACAGGTCAAGAAGTGGTCGCCCTCGGTCTGTTAGGACTCCAGCAGTGATAAAAGCTGTGAAGGCGCAAATTCAAAGAAATCCCAAACGTAAGCAGAAACTGTTGGCCCTTCAGATGGGGTTAAGCAGAACCACGGTGAAAAGGGTGTTAGAATGAAGACTTAGGGCTTCGGGGATATCGAAGAAAAACAGGACATCGTTTGAATGCTCGTCTAATGGACCTGAGACTGAAGAGATGCCGCGCTTTGTTGAAGCGGTACGCGGGAAAAAAATATCGGGAAATTCTTTTTTCGGATGAAAAAATTTTTACCGTAGAAGAGAGCTACAACAAACAAAATGATAAGGTGTACGCACACTGTAGTGAAGAAGCGAGCAACCGTATTCCGCGTGTNTTTTACCGTAGAAGAGAGCTACAACAAACAAAATGATAAGGTGTACGCACACTGTAGTGAAGAAGCGAGCAACCGTATTCCGCGTGTCCAACGAGGTCATTTTCCATCCTCGCTCATGGTATGGTTGGGAGTTTCTTATTGGGGCTTAACAGAGGTACATTTTTGTGAGAAAGGTGTAAAAACGAATGCAGTTGTGTATCCAAATACAGTCCTGACGAACCTTGTGGAACCTGTTTCTCATACCATGTTCAATAACAGGCACTGGGCATTCCAACAAGATTCGGCGCCAGCTCATAGAGCGAAGAGCACACAAGACTGGCTGGCGGCGCGTGAAATCGACTTCATCCGGCATGAAGACTGGCCCTCCTCCAGTCCAGATTTGAATCCGTTAGATTACAAGATATGGTAACACTTGGAGGAAAAGGCGTGCTCAAAGCCTCATCCCAATTTGGAGTCACTCAGGACATCCTTGATTAAGGCAGCCGCCGATATTGACATGGACCTCGTTCGTGCTGCGATAGACGACTGGACGCGCAGATTGAAGGCCTGTATTCAAAATCACGGAGGTTATTTTGAATAAACTTTAGTGTCATAAGAATCTATGTTTTGTTAAGTTCATTTTGGTATATGAATGGTTACATAATGAATAAACTTGTTTCAATTATTTTACATTAAACATGTGACAGAATTTATGACCTGACTAGGTATAAAAATGAATTGCTGTTCGTTAGTCTCGCTAAAACTCGAGAACGGCTGGACCGATTTGGCTAATTTTGGTCTTGAATTATTTGTGGGAGTCCAGGGAAGGTTTAAAAGGTGAGAAAATATAAAAAAGCTCGGAATTATATAAAAACAAACAATTTTGTTTTTCCTTTGATGAGTCCCCTTGATGTGTCTTTTATTTATCGATTGAGGCACTACGAAGTCTGCCCGGTCAGCTAGTCTATATATATATAAATGAATTGCTGTTAGTTAGTCTCGCTAAAACTCGAGAACGGCAGGACCGATTATCCTAATTTTGGTCTTGAATTATTTGTGGAAGTCCAGAGAAGGTTCAAAAGGTAGATAAATATGAAAATGCTCGGAATTAAATAAAAACAACAATTTTGTTTTTCCTTTGATGTGTCCTCCATCGGACGGATTCCTTTTGTTTGTTTTAAGCTTATTTTATACAAAAGCTTAGGTCTTTTATTTATCGATTGATGCACTACGAAGTCTGCCGGGTCAGCTAGTCTTAAATAAAAATTACAATCAAGTTGATAACCAATTACATAATTCCATGTAATGTTTATATCTGTCACAACGTATGTCACTTCATGTTTAATTAATCCATAAATGAATAAATAAATAGTACTGTACAATTATAAAACATAATATACTACTAATTAATATATAAATATAAATAGACTCTGTTCAGCAGAGTAGAGCATGAGAGTGAACTGGTAGGACTCACTATCGTCAATAAGTCCAAAACAAAAGTCATGCTTATCGACAGGGCCTGTCAACTCATTAAGACGAACTCTCGGACGTAAAATTTGTTGGCGAGTTTATCTACCACGGGTATTTTCTGACTGACTAAAGGAGAAGCGAACGGGAGATTAAGAGAAGGATTCAATTGGCCAAAGTTGCGATGAGCAAGCTGACACGTATTTGGCAGAACAGAAAAGTCTCCAATGCTTGGTTTTCTCGGTTTTTCTCAATAGTGCAGAGTTGTGGACGAAACGACCAACAGAGCGGAAAAAAATAGAAGCATTCGAGAAATAGGTAGTGTTGGCGAAGGATGCACTGCCTATCATGGACCGCCAGGAAAATAAATCAATCTATCCTCAAGTAATTTCGCGTAAAAACGAGAATGTTTACCATCTGTTACCAAAAGTTACTTTGTTCACGTAGCTCGATGGCTATCAGACAACCAATTATGCAAGTTGTCTGATTGCCATCGAGCTACGTAACCAAAGTAACTTTTATTGAAGAACTGGTTGTGGTGGGCAAGGTAGAAGGGAAAAGTCCCCCGGCAGGTTGGCCAAGCCAAGCCGTTGATCGGCTTATCGCGCTCACTGGACTCTCTGTTACAATCGCCCTGAGGGAAGCCGAAAACCGAACCAAATGGAAGATGATTGAATAAAGAGCTACGAAGGCCTTTCAAAGAGACAACGACCTTCAGCAATGAAGTATACGACTAAATAGAAGAAGACAAACACGAAATATTGAAATGTCATTAAAATATTAAATGGAAATCTACATGTTGGTGTGTCATTTGATTGTGACTGAATTTCATTATTCGTGCTATTTATAAATAAAGTCTAATTTAAAAATCTTAGAAATCAACGTAAACGAAACCATCAACGCGAATTAAGAATCAGATGGAATTAGTTAGAATTTGAACTCTCTTAAAAGTGCATTGTTTTTATTTTATACAGCTTGCAACTATAGTTTCTTGTAAAAAACTGTTAAATTGTTAATCCTAATCTCTGATATGCGGTTCATAATGAATTAACTTAAGGTATGTACGGACAAACTTTGTCTACACTAGAAAGTCTCGCGCCTAAATAACATGAACACATGTACGATGTTATTCATCTCGGTTTTCTGACTAGACATCCGATATACATATGTATATAGGTATAAGCATATACTAGATTTTGTTACCTTTATTTTGAACGTTGAAGTCGATCATGAACGTTTTGGCGTTAGAAACGTGTTTCCTGAGAAAGTTTTGTACCTTTCCACCAGTCTTGATCAAATACTAACTTCGGTACAATTGTAACGCTTGATATCACTAAACGTACATGTGTGCCTTACCCTTAAAGCTACGACGATATCAAAGTGTTAACAACATTGATTTTAAAATACTTTATTTGGCATGATTTCCTTGAGAACCTTTTATACAAAACTAAGAGTCTCCGGTTTCGTCTGAGGGTGGGCGGTATTATTCACATTGTGATATCAACGATCTTCAATATCAACCTAACCCCTGGCGAGCATGGCCGCGAGCTAGTCTGTACAAAAATAAAATTCTACGATATTCAGAAATAAAACACAAATTTTCTAGACAACATATTTATTTCATTGACTAGTATGTTAAGTTTAGTAAATTACTAAGTGATACCGCTGAGAATAGGCTAAGAAATATGTTATTTATTTTTTAATAAGACTTACTGAAGTATATATTAAAGTGATAATGTATCATAGTTTACATTGGAGTCGCATTGCGAACACACTGATCAAATAAAAGTCTTCACTAAAATATTATTATGATCCTTATATCTAGTTTACCTATGGCCTAGATAGTTACTAATTTTTCTAGACTATAACGATTTTTTTTTAAATGTAGTCTTTTGAATAGTTAATGTGGTAAAAGACAAAACAGATCTGATTTAGAAGCATTTATATTTCTAGGTCATAGGGCGAAAGCCGGGGTAAAAGTCGTGTTATTTATTCACTTGCGGAAGCAGGAGATGGGATTGAAGTAACATTGCCGGAAACGGACTTGTCTTTTGTCCGCCCTCCATGGTCGCACCAATCTACCATCCACGTTCCTCATAGCCCAGCCGCGGGGCTCTGTAGCCTGAGGCCATGATCGCGCCACGCGGGTCATTCTGTAAAAGAACTTTTATGTCAGAAATTAGACTAAAGATTAATTTTATTAATTTATAGAACAATTCCCAATAAATTTTATAAAAATTACAAAAAAAAATGATGATTGCAAAATTAGGCTCAGACTTTTTAAATTATTCCCACAGACTGTTCCAGCGTGTTCAACTATTGGGAATTCAATTACAAACACATACAAGGCGCTTTAAAAGCGTCGGTTATTTGAGTGAGGTACGTGATGGCAAGTATCGCGGCTACAAGGTTTTACAATAGTCGTAAAGCAAAATGTTCCCATAAATCAGCAGGACAACGCTTCCATTTTGATTTAAAAGGTATATTCATTATTCTTTTAGAAATATCATGCTGCATAAACGGTATTTATCACTATTGATCTGAATCAAAAAAATAACCCCTTTTTTTAAGGAGAAGTATAATAATTGCTGAAGTTATTTTTTATTGCAGAAATTCCATATAGTATTTCTATACATAAAATTACCAATACCCACCAACCCAATATATATATATATATAATTTCTCTATTGAATCGATTCTATAAGATTCAAGAGAGATTCTATCGAGTATTTTGGAAGTAAACAATTTCCTTCGCGTATTTTTGTAACAAACAAAAAACAAAAGTGTGAGGGGATGACTGGATCAGGTTTTATTGGCTTGGTTGGACAGATGACTCCAGAAATATATATACATGACGATAATTCTAACCGCTGCGAACTCTCACACACTTGGTATACTACTGTACTAGAGATAGAGGTCAAGTGAAAGGAACAATGAATTTTGAAAGAAAATCACTTAGGTCGTTACTGCTAATTAAAAATAAATAGTATCTTCTCATAGTCAGACAATAAATTATTTCCATTTTTTTATTGTTCCATTGATTAAGCGCCTTACAGAGACAGCGAAGATGCCGCCACGCACCTTGAGACATGAGTTCGCATTTTCGTATAACATTTATTTTGTCACCTTTGAAACTGGCACACATGACTTACTGGCTCGCGGCAGGAATATGTAGGAAAGTACTTTCTATACGGGTGAATACACAATATGACAATACTATTATTCTTAAATGAAATGGTTTTATTGAAAGATAGCATTCGTGTAACACGCTTGAAATCAATGCACTGCTGTGAATATTTTATGATTCTATAAAAATATTTGAAAGATACTTTTTTAAGATAAATTTTTAGCATAGCTTCTTTGAAGACGTACAAGTTCTTCGATCTAATCGATAGATAGAATGGCGTTTAGAAAATCAGCAAATTCAATAATACATTTAAATACTCCTGGCATGTTTTTCATTAGTTCAACATCGCAATTACAAGTAAAAACGTATACAAAAACTAAAATCTGTATTATGAAATAGATTTTAATATTTATCCGATGACATTAAGTTAATGTGATTAAAAGGATCTTTCAGAAGATTCGCATTAACAAAATCGATACATAGAACCTTCGTAAAAGCCTTCGTAGAAACCTTCCGAGCTTACGGTCAAAACTTTAAGTATACAGCCTCACTAATGTATTTATGAAAATACCGTAAAAGATATCGAAAATATTTATTTAGGATAATCATGCATTATTTATGCGATTTTAAAGCCGCTATTATTGTAAATGTTTTGTAAATATTATAAATGTTTGGTTTAAGTCCATGATAAATACAGTATTACGTGCTTCAAGGCACACTATCATGAATGTATTTTTGTTTATTGTAAACTTTGTTGAATACAGAAACAAATAAATAAATTCAAACTACAAAATATTTATCTTTTTTCTGTCTTGGTGCCCAGTTTTGCCCTTAAGTCCTATTGTAACTATATACGTATATACAAAATGTCAACAGACAAAACTTGTAAAGTAATTGAAAGTGTAAATGTTGTCACTTTAGCTCCATTTAAATTTGTGTATTGAAGTTTCATGTGTACTTGCGATATTTGCTTCAAACGACTTCGTTTATTTGTACGAAAGTTTTCAGCGTCGATAAACTGAACTATGCTAAAACGGTCTAAATCTGTTATCACAAAGTAATTCAATTAAGAAGGCTAATTGTTTTATTAATTAAACCGTTAACCGTTTTTGAGATACATATATTAGAAAAAAAAAGCTCTGCACCAGGCTCTTAAAGATATTATACCGAAATTCTATCACATTTCAATTACGTGCTGCGCTGCTACGATCTATAAGTATAGCGGTATAGTTTAAGAACTTCATTATGAATTAAAACAAATTGTCTTACACTTCATTTTAATCGGCTTTATTTAGATTCATCTTGAGTTTCACTGTCTTATATTTTTTCTAATTTTGGAATAAATATTAAAAAATTTACGTTCTAAAAATTATCACATGTTAATAACGTAAGTTTTTGGATACCTTTGTTATGTACTTTTTATCCCAACATCTTTATTGAAATTGCTATAATTCTTAATTTTCATTAAAGTTATTTAAAGTTACGATAACTCTAACTTTGGCGGCTTATTAGCTTGTTTTTCAATACGCTGTCAATCGTAAGTGGCCATAAACACACCTAATGTTACATCCATAAAATAATTTATTTAACTAAATATTTCTGTCCCTATTGTTATTTAATTTATCAACCAGTTTATATTCCAAAGACATTTCACTGTTATTTCTTAGGCGAGAACGTGTCAATATTTCAAATGACTGTCAAGACGGGCCTTGTTTTGCATGCTATTTTTGGACGGGAGAAATTTATCGGCATTTTTTGTCTTTCTAGCATTATTTTGTTACAACATTTATGAAATATTTAAAATAAGAAGGCAAATATATAACATAAGTTTTTTCAGACAGCATTGAACCGGTGTTATTTAATGACAGATAGGTTTAACAGCTTAATATACATCTTTACTCTTATATTGAGCTTAGCAGATATATTTTTTTTCCACAGCAGAAAATCGCACGGATCCCCACCCGCGCGGCAGGTGGGGTATGTGGGAGTTGAAACTCACTAAAAACTCCTGCCGCTCACAACCGGCGCCCTACCTCGGACTGGGCCGGAGCCCAGTCGGGGCTATTGAGACGGCGGGACAGGGTTGACGCAGAGCACATTACATCCATCCCACCGTCCCACGGACGCCGGACCGGCGGCTGCCAGCGACACGACCAACGGTTCCCTCGTTCAGCGGGCCGAGAGCCCGCCTTGATGGCGCCGCGTTACACCTTCCCCCAGAGCGGTCGGGGGAACGCGGTCTACCATCACCCGGCTTCCTATTGCGGGTGAGCGTGCAGAGCACGCCACCCCTCGTCTGGGTCCCTCCCCGCACAAAACGGGTGGGACCCCTAGCTCTTAGGGGGCCAGGTCACGGATACGACCCCGGTCCCGACCCCCTGCTCGGCGGCGGCGGGTTTCTGCGTAGTGAGGAGAGCTTTCCCTCACTCGCCCCGCCGCCTCCTTCTGCGAGATGGTGCACTCGCAGAAGTCGAGCATAGCCTTCCATGACTCATCGCTGCCAAGCATCGACGCCACGACGCCAGGCAGCGACAAGTCAGGTCCTATCTTTGCGACCAGGACACGGCGCTGCACCTCCCAAGCGGGGCAGACAGCGAGCGTATGCTCCGCCGTGTCCAGGTCGTGTCCACAATGGTGACACCTCGTCGTCGGCTCAGCCCCTATCCGGCGCAGGTACTTCCCGAAGAATCCGTGCCCGGTCAGCACCTGCACCAGACGAAAGGTGAGACGTCCTTCGCCACGATTCACCCAGTCATCAGACTGGGTAAACCGCCTCGACGGTCCGTAGCCCCCACGTGGGGTTGGCCAATCGCCTCGACGAGCTTAGCAGATAGCCTTAAGTAGTATGAGTCATTTAATATTATAAAAGTGATACTTATAAATTATACAGTATTACACAGTAATTATACCTACAGTATTCATCTTTTGTAAGAATATAGTTTCTAAACATGGATAATGGTTATGGTAGGAATAGCTAAATCCGCAGATGAAAGGGCGGAATAAAGCAAAAAAAAAACAAGTCGAACCATTATTTATTTGTGATCTCACCTATCTTCAACGCCAAGATCCGTCAAGAGTTTCCTCAGTGCAGCAGCATCAACAGCATCCCAGGATCCAGATAGGTCAACTTCATTATCCGTGTGACCGACCACAGAGCTTTCCGACTGATCTTCGTCAGGATCCTGTTCAAGTTTATTTAATTTAAAAAAAGGTTTCAATTGCCTATTTTTATGATTTTGAGGTTGAAGAAAGCGCCAAAGGTCGAAACAAATAATCAGAATTGATTTTGTTAGAATACGTCTAGTTAAGTTACAAAGATAACGAAAGCAGGAAATGGTTAATCAAAAAAGATACTACCATTAGTGAAACATTTAACAAAATCTACAATGACAAAATTATAGAAGTATAATCAAATAATGTTTAGTTCTATTAGTTAATTTAATATACATATGGATGACCAAAATAAACAAAAATCATAGTTTGAAAAAATACAGTTTTAACATGGTACATAGACAAATATTTTTTTATAGATTTCTTGAATCAAATATAATAAAAATCGAGTATCATTTATTGTGAGGATAATCAAACCCAAAGAATGACTTATCACGAATTTTCTTTTGCGAAACGATAATTATTGTTATTTATTGAAAACACAAGGAAACAGACGCGATCTGAGATGTTGCCTTTTACGATATGTCTGTTCAAAGAATTNTGGTACATAGACAAATATTTTTTTATAGATTTCTTGAATCAAATATAATAAAAATCGAGTATCATTTATTGTGAGGATAATCAAACCCAAAGAATGACTTATCACGAATTTTCTTTTGCGAAACGATAATTATTGTTATTTATTGAAAACACAAGGAAACAGACGCGATCTGAGATGTTGCCTTTTACGATATGTCTGTTCAAAGAATTTCCTTTTGCTTTTAATGACATAATGAATGCAAAGGAATGAAGGAAACACATTTTTCCTGAAGTCGAGTCACTTAGCTGAATATATCTGTGCAGAATATATTATTGTTAATATGTATTTTACTTCAAAATGACTTACTTGTTTGTCACCAAATCATGTTTTAGGAAACGTAAATTAAAAGTAGACATTCTAAACGATTTATGCAATCAACATCATTTAATTAATAATTAATAAATAGATGATTAAATATTTTTGTATCCAAACATTACTTTAATGGAAAACAAAAACAGAGAAACATTTTGGTGTTATAATATATACTTACGCTGTAGTCCCAAAAGGTTTCCTTATTTGGTTTCAGTCCTTTTTCTCGGGGTCTCCCTGTATTACTTTCCCTTATTTCAATTCAAAACATATACCATAATACAGTCTAATATGTTTTTCGTTAGAAGTTGTAATATAAGTGTACATGATTGTAATGAAAATACGATCGCAAGATTTTTCTAGCGACATACAAAATTAGGTTTCAGATTGCGGCTCGCGCAAAGATTTTTGAACCGTATATAACATCATAAAATAAACTCACCATTGGAGCCGAATTCGTGACCACCAGGAGGGCAAAAACCCCAAACAAAACGGCCAAGCCCAGATTGTTCCTTATGAATTTCATCTTCGCCTAAACGCCTAAATGAAACAAAAAATGCAGATCTAAAATGTTGTTTCAACTATCTTTATTTTTTTTATGGCCCTTGTAGGCAGACGAGCATACGGACCACCTGAATGTGAGTGGTTACCGTCACCCATGGACTTCAGCAATGCCAGGGGCAGAGCCAAGCCACTGCCTACCGTTGAGTACTCTCCACAAGCCTCGGTTGAAGAAGGACAAGTCATAGCGCTCGGGAAACACCGTGGAGGGGAGCTCATTCCAAAGCCGGATGGTACGTGGCAAAAAAGATCTCTGGAAACGCACTGTGGATGAACGCAGTGACTCCAGGTAGTATGGATGAACTCTACTCCGGTGGCGGGCGGTGCGATAGTAAAAACGAGATGATGGAATCATCTCAAATAATTCCTCAGAGCACTCCCCATGGAACATGCGGTACATAATGCAGAGAGAAGCGAAGTCCCTCCGCAGACCCAGGGGTTCCAAAGGATCCGTGAGAACGGGATTATCGACAATCCGAAGGTTCTATCTCTAGGTTCAATTAAAACCAGTTACATGTTATTATTTTAGGTAGGCCATATTATGAACCTCTACCATATGTTTATTTCTGTCCTGAAGCGGGTGCGTTCCAGCTTCTGAGTTGAGGCAACAATAATTATCCTATACGATTGAGAGTTAGACCTCATTTTTCAAGGTGGGTTAGCATTTTTACCAGGTAGGTCGTGATCTCATTCACTTGTATATATATACAAATGTATGCTTGTATCTTTCCTTTGTTTTTATTCCTACTTGCTCAGCAGGCATACGGCCAAGGATAGAACATAGCCATCGACACTCATGAATGTCGGAAATATATAGAATCACCTATTTTTGTCTATTTTAAACAGAACCATCACAACATGAAATTGTTATTACTTACCAGTAAAAATTACTTAAGTTTAAAACAGTGAAATTGGTTAAAATACGAGTAAATTTAAACACATTAATTCAGACACCTGCTGAGTGCGCGTGCTGGGCTTGACAGCGCGAGCTTCTGCCTCCGCAGAACTTTATGTAAATCTAAAATTTCCTAAAGGTGTCAATTTGTCAATTACATTGAAAATTTCTTGCGATGTGTGTACAATTAATTATCTTCCTACTCGAGGTATTAGACAGTGGATAAATTTGAAAATTTATTCTGTGATTTCTCGAATAATGATTTAATCTGCATTGTCATAAATCCACGTTGTAATGACAATGGACTGGGGTAGCTACTTAAAACTAGGAAAACCGAACACTCGCTTATATGTATATAACAATGAAAAACACCATCAAGCTGAACTACGGTTATTAGAGGATTGAGAAAAAATTATAATAAGTCTTATCTCAATAAAAGTGTGAGCGTGTTTTATGTTAGTACAGCCTGTGGTGGAGTAGGTACATTTGATTATATTTTGTTTGATTTTTAACAGACTTTTAAAAGCATGTATATACGTTTCGTATTCATAAAATTAAACAACAACAGATTTTTCTGCTCTACCCGCAAAAGCATTATTGTAGAGCACAACAAAACGCAATAAGGAAAGAACAAAACACGCCAATTTCAAATCTTACAGCTAGGTACTGCTTTAAAAAAACTGCGTATTCGAATCAAACACCACTTTATATGGTTAGCCGTTGCAACTGCATAATAATGATAAAATCTGCATATGAAGCTTTATAAAATATGTACAAAAAATCTAAAAAGGTACAAAAAACGAGAATAATTCCACAGGTACATTATTTGTTCTTTAGGTCAATAAGTAAATCTGATCTTATTTATAGCAAGCGATATTCTGCATTCTTCTTATCCAATATATCATGTAGGTTCGTAAAACCCCTGGGAATAATATCACAAAGTATTCAGAGGCAACCCTGAGGATCTGTAGGAGCCTTGATATGTAATTGGATACACGAGCTGCTATTTATCAATACAACGACCCAGCCGTGTATATGAAATTAAAAATAAACGATACCCGGATAAGCTGCTATTAGTATTCGTCCATACGTAGAATATTACATTAGTGGTGATTTAAGACGACCGTTTCTGAAGGATAATAAAAAATACATGGNTCAGAGGCAACCCTGAGGATCTGTAGGAGCCTTGATATGTAATTGGATACACGAGCTGCTATTTATCAATACAACGACCCAGCCGTGTATATGAAATTAAAAATAAACGATACCCGGATAAGCTGCTATTAGTATTCGTCCATACGTAGAATATTACATTAGTGGTGATTTAAGACGACCGTTTCTGAAGGATAATAAAAAATACATGGTACTTTAATGTACATAGAAAAGATTATTCTTTTATGAAACTCTTTTGCTTAGATCGGTGCACTGCTGACCTGTTTTTAATTCTTTTCAGGAGTCCATGGGCATCATAACATGAATGCCGTTAGCTCCATGAGACAGCGTTGAGTTCTTTTGAGGGATCTACCATCCAACCGCTGTCACGAAGCAGCCATGCTTTGCAGTTTGAAATGTGCGACATTCATTTCACAATACACTTGAGATTTCAACCCAGTTTGTTAAAGCGGATGGCATATTCACTTTGTGATTTCCCAGGCTTTATGATGGCTGCCACTCCAGACTATATGAAACGTGAACTCAGTCATATTTAAAAAAAAACCAAACCCATATCGTAAGTTCGGAAAAATGAGGGTAAAATTATTATAGAGAGATATCGAATGACTATTGTAGAAAATACATAATAGATTTTATCAAAAGAGCATTCATACGAAACATTTCATTTCTACTGTGGATGTTGTACAGTACTGATTGTGCGACTCGTATTTTTAGTAAAACTTTTTAGTTTTACATCGCCGACTAGTTTCAAATTGGAAAATGTCCTGCGGACGCTTTTGTCTGCAAACTTCGGTATGTTTTGAACACAGATTGAAAATGTTGGAACTCATGAGTTTATAACATAGAGAAATAGCTACAACAGTTGAATGTTTCGGGTGTTTGCCTGTCACTTATCTCTCATCACCTTAACTCCTTTGTATATTCACAGCAGCGACCACATGAAAATATTCAACGATGAGGTTATGTAACCCCAAGGAAAAGCTAATTTGTTTGGATGCTGCAATGAACATAATCAGAAGGTAGAATGGAAGATTGGTGATATAGAAAATTAGATTCGAACTTTTCTTCCTATAAGACTCTCCAAAATTAAAGTTGAAAATCTACTTTTCCAGTAATTTAGATGAGTTGCAGCCGAGAGGAATCTCTGCTACCACGCTCTAAGTGCACCACGGACAACTTATGAATATAGAATAGGACATACCTTATGAATTAATAATAATTTTCGCAAAAGCGTCTGTATCGATGGAAGGAAATAAATAAATAAATTCCACCTTAAGAGTTCTAAGTCTCAATTTTATAGTAAAACGAAACGCACTACTATTTCACGGTAGAAATGGACGGGGTGGTGGTACATACCCAGCGAGTTCACAATACGCCTTGCCATCAGTAAGTTCAGTAAGTTTTAAGCTAAGTATCATTTAAGGTGCGTTGCTCATTGGCTCCAGGGACTATTTTACATTAGGGGAAACGTGAATGCGTCCAAGAGAGAAGAGAAACCGAAAACCGAAGCAAATGGAAGCTGATGGTACAAAGAGCCACGAAGGGCTTTCAGGGACACGACCTTCAGCAATGAAGAATTCGACTAAGAAGCAGAAGAATGCGTCCACACGTCTACAGCAAAATAAAAAAAAATCTTTCATTTTAAGTGTGCGCTAAAATCGAATAAGCACATTCTGTAAAGTCATGTGACTAGTTCTCATTTTCATTTAAAATACTACCAGCTGCTAATAATGTTTTTGTAGCTATGTGCATCCTTGTATGGCTGCAATATCCAATTTCCCTAACGAAGGTATGTACGTACGTGTACACTATTCTCAAACGAATACAATTTATTGCATAAGCACCGGGTTTTATTGGCATTTTCGACTACACTACTACTTGGCATTATTAAGTAGATTTTATTCTGGACGTTCTGGTAAAAATAATATCTAATAATTACGTACTTTTTTATGTTCATAACAATTTGAATAGTTTCTTCGAAATTGACGCTGTTAATTCATTTCCAAGTGAAGGTCTTATGAAAATTGAAAAAGTATTCAAAAGACAAATAATGCACATACTTAAGTATACCCTTTGGCTAATCCAGAATAAGTTTCAGGAATTTTCGTAATTGTGATACTTTGAAAGGTTTCGGGATAAACGTTAAGATACAAATCTCTCTTGTAAAAGTTTTTGAGTATATTGTCGAAACTTTAAATATTTTATTTAGAATTACTCTTTTTTTTTAAATATGGTGATAATATAATTTTAAATGTGATAAACTTTGTAGGCAGCGGCTTGGCTCTACCCCAGGCATTGCTGACGTCCATGAGCAACTGTGACCACTTACCATCAGGTATGCTCGTCTGCCTACAAAGACAATAACAAAAAAACTACCTTTTAACTTAACAACATCGCATGGTGATTGTAACTCTACACAACAAATCAACAGAGTTCATTACAGTTCAATATCACCCGCTCGGTGAAAGATTTTCCCTTTGTCGTAAATTTAAAAAAAAATACGACCCCTCTATAATGATTGGATTGGTCGAAAATTCTAAAGTTACAAAGCCTGACCTATATAGTTACCGTACCTTTGAATGTTATTAAAACTATTTTCTTTCCATGAGCGTGTAAATAACGTTGATTATTAGTATGCCAAAGCGATCAAGCTGAATAAATTTGTTGCATCTAAGGAATCAGACTTTGCATGAGCACCTTTATACATATATACTTTTTCAGAATGGAAGTGCTGCACGTCTTTCGTTTTATTTTAATGACATGCTCGTATATATAATAATAAGGATACTTTAAGATTAATGCTTTTTTCTAAGGTTGTATGTACCATATCTATACTTAGTCTGGCCATAAATACTGTTACTGTTTTTTTTTCGTCGTCACGGACGACTCAGATGTTTTTTGTTTATGACTCGCGGAAACCGAAAAAAGCTCTATGATTTTTTTGTCCATTTTTTCATAATGTCTCTTTTCTGTCTTATTTTCTGAATTATTCTTCTATATTTGAAGCTAGCCCAATTTATTGACAAATAGTACATCATGGTTTTTTTAAATACATATAAGTAAATATAATTGATCTAATAACAAGTAATTCATAAAAAAATTCGAATGTAGCGGGAAATATGAAAATAAATTTTCAAATGTCACACTTAAAGTCGTAGGCCTAGATTTGAAAAATTCGTTAAACCGAATAGTAAAGATCTCTTAAGACAGGTTCGGCTCGTACTTCATCGGTTTTTTATATCATACAGTACACTCTCTGCGAATGAATCTTTGAAACTGGTTCAGATTCAACATCAATTGTTTTCTTAGTAGAAAAGAGATTTTGAGGTTGTTTTAGGACATGTCAAATTAAAACAATGTTGAAAGAAATAATAAGAATTAATTCAGTTAAAATGGGTCCGTTTAGGTAACGAAGAAATATTATTTAGGCTGAATGTGTGAGTAGATTATGTTCGGTGTTGACTCGATTAAAGAAAAAAAAAATTATCAATGGTATTAACTATATGCTGCTGTAAAATTGCACAAACCGGACTGAGTGATTTTTTTTGAGGCAGAAATGAACAAAATATTAGTACTTACCTTATAAAACCTACCTATACGAGCTCACGAGACAAATTACTATCAATAACATTCCCTAAATTAGGAAAAATATCCGTAACTGTAAGTCAAAATTGTGTCATCAACTTAACGCCACTTAGCATAAGACAGTTTTCTAAATTTAACAAACAGGGTACGGAAATTGCTAAAGTAACTTATGCGGTGGTCGCTCTCTTTGAAAAGTACTAAACCGGATTTTAATTAAAGGTCCCTTCGATTGGTCTGCATCACTTTGCAGATTCTCATTAAAATATACATTCACATTCAGGTACATATAAAAGTAAACATAAAAAGGGATCTCGTAGAAAATAGACAAGTCCGTTGAAGTATATTAAATTTTATCGGGGTTCCAATCCTTTGTTTCGCTGTAAAATAAATATTCTAAATTCAACGGCACCAACGAGGTTTCTTTCTATTAAATATGACTAGAACAGAACCATACACTCAAAAACTATACAACTTTAAGAAGGGTATAATTAAAATTATTTGTACGGCTTAATCTAGCGTTCTTCTTTCTCGAGTTAATTCGTTCGCTAGACATTACAACGTGTATGGCTCTATCCACGTTTCGAACATTAACACATCACGAATGGTTTGGTACCACGGACGGCTTGTTTGATCTACCTTTAAAATTTGAGTATCTTATGTACGTTTAGCTGAAGTAAAATATTAGAAGGATTATACAATCTTCATTGTGACGTCTTTTAGAGTAATTTAAAAAAAATGTGCAATATAATTTTGTCATAGACGACTATTGTAATGAATGTATTATAATCACAATAAAATACACAAAAATAAAATAAACCGTGAAAGTATTTATAATTATGTATACGAATTGCGAAGGCAAAAAAAACGATTACCAGTTTGTTTCAATTCAACTTTTAAGCATTCGACTAAACACGTATAGCATTGTCGAATAATGTATATTCAAAATCTCTACTGTGATAAAAGAATTCATATCTGATGTTCCAAATCTAAATTCTCCTCTAATAATCTATTGATTTGTCGGCTATTACTGAGTGACAAAAATATAAATATCAAATTTATAAAGTTGGAAGAATCCTCTCTAGATTGAATCACGCGTAGGACTGCAATTTACATATCTAATTAATTACGCGACCTATATACCTACGTATTTGCAAGTGTTTTCCTTCTTGTAACATAACAAAGTTATAGAAAGGACAATTACATATAATTAATGAATTATAAAAATTTAATTTATTCTAAACCAGTGTCCGGATTTTGTTTGACCCTTTGTGTTGTTTTTAGCTTCATTTGACTTATATTTATGAAATAAAATTTATGTAATGCCCAGTTCTTTGTTGTTTTCTGTATTTGAAATAAAATCGGTTGTGATACCCTGTAGAATGTGATTTTAAATTACTTCATGGTAGAAACAGTAGGTATCTTACTTTACTACACGTTGTGGGTTTGTAATTCCCTACCAGCAGAACTTAAGGTAGGCATTAGGGAAATAGGAATCAGAGTTGAGTAAGCACGTAAGAGTGCCAGTTCGGATGATGAGGAACTAGTAGCAGTTTGTAGTAGTAACTGTGGTATGCTACAGCGACTACTATCTGCCGCTTACCACGTATGGTGTTGCTTGGCTGTTCCTCTGACATTGTTGTTATATATGAGCAATAATGATCATTCACCATCTATGAACATCAAATACATCTATTTGAGATTTCAATTTCATACTTCAAGCTTGCATTACATTATTACATCACGCCCATCAGATACATCCTATCCACGTCTGCCTTCAAAGCCACAAACATAAAGCCTTATCTATCCTGTATCATTTAATAATAATCATGAAAATTATTTCATATCATTTAATTTTTTTTTTTTTTTTAAACAGTATTATTTTTCTGCGTTTATTTTATGGACATACAAGAGGCTATGAATGTCATTAAGAATAATTTCTCTTTACATAATTTTCATTTTCATTGCTTAGATGGGTGGATGAGCTTACGGTCCACCTGGTGTTAAGTTACCAGAGCCCATAGATGTGCCATCTACCTTGAGATATGGGTTCTAAGGTCTCAGTTTTTACAGTACAACGGCTGCCCCATCCTTCAAACCGAAATGCATTACTGCTTTACGGCAGATATATACAGAGTGGCTATGCGGACTCACAAGACGTCCCACCACCAGTAATTACGCAAATTATAATTTTGCAAGTTTGATTTTTATTACACAATGTTATTCCTTCACCGTGGAAGTCTATCACGAACAATTGTTAAGTTCGTATTTCATTACAAAAATTGGTACCTGCCTGTGGGATTCGAATTCCGTTGCACCGGACGTCTTATCCTATAGGCAACGACGATTTCGAATAAAAATAAGTAATATAAATATGAATTAAACAGTAAAATGTCCACATTAACAAATGCTTATTTGATTAATTGGAGAATACTGTAGTACATAGGTGTTGATGTTAATCTTGTGGATGGATTTTTAGTATAATAGGTAGAAAAGTTAACATGGTTAAACACAGTTAGTGGTTAAATGGATATCGGAACCCATAGGCATTGAACGTTGAACGAATGAATTGTTAAAATGTTGACTACTTAATTTAACGAAAAAAGCAAGGAAGAACAACAGTAAATAGTATTAAAAGATACAACTTGAATATGACCACAAAGAAAAAACAATCTATTGCATATTGTTTGTATTGCAAAGCACAAACCAATCTGTTAAAATGTTTTGTTAAATATTAAATTTATTTATTTATTTTAAAGAAACAATTGTTTTAGGTATTTTTCATAAGAGCATGTCTCATAAGACCGCATTTCAGTTTAATTTAAAGATAAACCAAATCTCAACTAAAATAAAACCATAAGTGGTATAATAATAATGTAATAACGATTTAGTCGTAAAATATGAGAATGACTTAAGAGGTATTAAGCAAATAAGCATGTATCATTAGGGCGTGTTATGCTCCGTACAAGTTAGAGTCTCTTTCTGCCGTGAAGCAATCATGCGTTCCAGATAGAAGAGTAGATTACCTGTTACTCCAGAGTAATAGAGAAATCGATTTCAACTTCAAGCTATGCAGTAAAATCTATGTCACTTTATTTATGAGTTTCGGGAATCGCTTAACACTACGGGGCCGTGAGCTTGTCAATCCATCAACGCCATTATTATAATATTAAATCAGTCATAAATAAATACATTATCAATAAAAAGAGCACTCGTAAATAAAATTTATCACTGTGATATTGTTTTATATCTGAAAATAAAGAGTGTATTAAAAATGAAAACTCTTAAAAACGATATTTTTTTAAATGAAAATTCTTCGAATCTATACAAAAGTAGTCTTAAGCACACTTACCAACAAGAGCTTCAGAGGAGACTTCGCAAACTTTGTGAGCACGTGACTGTGGTGAGCTTGCAGTCGCCGATGGTGCTTCAATTCAAATGAGAAGAGCTGGCTCCCGTCGTGGCCTTATATAGCAGTGCCATAGCGTTGTTGAGCGTGCGTAGGTGCCTCGTAGAACTCTACGCCTCTACGATGTAACTATACTACGAAATGCTACGAGCTTTAAAAACATACTTTAAATAAATAAGTTCAATTACATTATAATATACATATTGCAGTTGAGACTTTTTAAACTATTATTCTTAGTTCATATTCAATGTTAAGGTGTTTTAGACGTATACAGGGCTACAAATAAATAAATAAAATGTATTCAATTCAATTGCTGTGTGCTGTTAATTATAGGTCAGCAGACGAGCTCGCAGTCCATCTGGATTAAAGTGGTTACCGGAGCCCCAAACACATCGCAACGTGAATTAAGGTCGAAGTCATATTTACCCGTAACAAACACATAATACGCCCTACCACTAGTACATACATATAATAAAAATGAAACATTTGTTAATCAAGAAATTTATTTTACATTCATTTCTCAATGTATTTTTTACTTAATCGTTGATAGTCTACGGGGCTATTCCAACTATGCTCAATATCAATTATTTAAAAAAGCATTACAATGATGATTATAATGATGAATGATTAATGAACTCGTGGGCTAAGTGATCCTGGCTACTAGTGTCCGGGTTCGATCCCCAATCGATATTAATATATGCGTTGAAATATATTTGGTAATTTAATTAAATACGTACTTACCACATTATGTTCATGCATGACTTCCTTGCTGTATGAAGAAACAGCAATGGTCTGAATATTGTTGTTCGGAATTGTATCATCATCATCATCATTTCAGCCTATCGCCGTCCACTGCTGAACATAGGCCTCTCCAATAGATTTCCAGTGCGACCGGTCCATTGCCACCGGAATTGTATAATATGTAAAATTTTGTTAAAAATGTCGTTAGCGCGAGTATTGTTTTTGTCATATATCTCTTAGTGTATGATAGCTTCCGCTATATACTGTTGATATGGCATTTTATAAGGCCTCAAAGGTAGGTAACACTATTTTACCCATTTATGCGACCCGGCAGTAAATTTAGGAGTTTGAAGGATTGCTATAGCCGTTATACTACGGGTTTTGTTGGAAGCATTCAAATAGTGAAGATTTCCAGTTTTATCTCAATTTCTACAACGGACTCTATGTTGGTGTGAGCTCGAACGCATGCAATAAAAATGCTACGATTATACTTCTCAAATCATTTCACATTCCTAGATATATTTTATGTTCACTTTGAATATCCATAAAAAGAATTATCGGTGTTATGAATTGAAACTTTCGGAACTGTTTTTGATCAAATAGCATATTATTATAACGTCTAATAATTGAACGCCTTTTTAATCAGTTGTCGTGGCCACTCTTTGGAGATTAAGGTTAGGGTTTTCATATTGCGCAGTTTCCGAAAAATTGTAGCTTTGTACGAGTATTATAATGTCAGTCCAAAAAATCTGCACACTTTCAGTGCGTAGTATTATTTTAATATGATGACAAGATCACTTGTCCATAACAAGGTAGACAGTGCCATTGCATTTCAGTGGTTTGAAAGTATAATATTTATAGAAAATAGTGGTTGGAGTAGTAGAGAGTAGAGTAGGGTCGTAGGACCAGCAAAAGCCGTTTTACCTATTTTTGTCGCTGAACAAAGATACGTTCCAGTTTAAAGAGTGGTACTACCTATATATAATATAATACATACGCTATAGAATACAATGGAGACTTCAAGGTTATGTTTCATCATGGGTGCGCTACGCGCTGTGATATCTGGAATGATATACCCATTTAAAACAATGCGAGTCACAAACATGCTTGTAAATGTAGCTAAAAAAAATAAGCGTATGTATCTTTAGATATACTTTAGATACCACAGGCAGGTACCAATTTTTGTAATGAAATACGTACTTAACAATTGTACGCGATTGACTTCCACGGTGAAGGAATAACATCGTGTAATAAAAATCAAACTTTCATAATTATAATTTGCGTAACTACTGGTGGTAGGACCTCTTGTAAGTCCGCACGGGTAGGTACCACCGCCCTGCTTATTTCTATCGTGAAGCAGTAATGCGTTTCGGTTTGAAGGGTGGGGCAGCCGTTGTAACTATACTGAGACCTTAGAACTTATATCTCAAGGTGGGTGGCGCATTTACGTCGTAGATGTCTATGGGCTCCAGTAACCACTTAACACCAGGTGGGCTGTGAGCTCGTCCATCCATCTAAGCAATAAAAAAATTTTTTAGCTTAGAAATGAAATGGTTATTGGCGGTTCATAAGCGAAACCTATTTGAGTCGTTAGTTGCTAAAATAGTTAAACTTATTCATTTCATTCAAGCAACGAACCTTCAGCGTGTGTTGTCGGGAACGTAGGTGTATGCTGGTTTGTCACATGTCGTCATATAGTCTCGGAATTAAAAATACATTAACTGTAATGGAAAGACGATGCGCATGCGTGCCTACAATATCCTATTTTCCATTTCAGTATATTATATGCCTTATCACAGAAACTATTAAATGTAAGCCACATTTTTAACCCATTAACTTAAATTTCAATCTAGTGAAAGGGCATATTTTCACCATTTAGTATAAAATAAAATACGTTAAAAGTAAAATTGTGATATGGTATTTATATTCTTTTTAATATCGGTACATATTTTTTATTTCGTCGTTAGCAATCTAAGTACATACGATGTTTAATGGAGTAATGAAAGCCATCAATCCCAGCTTATCTCTCTAGTTTATTATATCAACATGTTACTGTATAATAACAACTTGAGGTGTGAATGGACAGCACCGATTATGCTTGCAAACATTATTCTGATAAGAATGACAAATGTTCGCCTATCATTACCTCGTTTAATCTGTAATCGCTTTTAGTGCGTAGGCGTTATGACAGTGCCCGGAAAATTAATATATTTTTTCCAATAAGAAAAAAGTCAACTACATAATAATTAATAAGTACTGTAACGATAGAACTTGTAAGTTATTGATAAAACTTTTCTTGCATTTTTGCAGGTCTTGTTCCGATCGTCCTGGAGTTGCCAATTAAAAGTTTTCTTAGATGGATTTCACAGTCACATTTTTCACGCTGTTAACGCGATTGAAACCGCTGTTGATGGCAGCCCGCTAATTTTGGTCTTAAATAATAATGCGCTCCGGCTTGTTGGTTTAGAGTATTTTACAAAACTGAAATGAAAATTTCATGTAGTTCTAGGCTAAGTCCCTAGGATTGTTAGGTTAAGTTTGGCAAAAAAAAAGATGGTTAGCAAACTTCCTCCAACAATGTTAGCTCCAAATAGTTCTAATAAATATTTAGGACGTAAAAATAAATGCACAATTTTTTTAATTACTAGTGGTAGGACCTCTTGTGAGTCCGCGCGGATAGGTACTACCGCCCTACCTATTTCTGCCGTGAAGCAGTAATGCTTTTCGGTTTGAAGGGTGGGTGGGGCAGCCGTTGTACTATACTGAGATCTTAGAACTTATATCTCAAGGTGGGTCGCGCATTTACGTTGTAGGTGTCTATGGGCTCCAGTAACCACAACACCAGGTGGGCTGTGAGCTCGACCATCCATTCTAGCAATAAAAAATAAATAAAAAATAAAAAAACTTGAAAACTTTTAAAATATTAAACAAATTATTTGTTTATTAAAATAGAATAAATATGATTTAGTGTTCATAAAAAAGAAATACCTCCTATAAAAATTGCACGATCAACAATTAACTTCATTTATGTTGTACTCAGATTGTAACCGTAGAATTCGTGTCGGCAAACACTAAATGAAGGCCAGTCGAAATTAAAATATGAACTGAGAGACCCTTAACACAAATGATTTGTGCTTCACGTGAGTCAAACGAAAATTAAGTTTTTTTTTTGTTCCTGCTTAAGCTCCGACCTAAGATCATGAGAGACCATATCAGCGTCACCGGGTGAGTAGGTGAGCTCACGGAGCTCAAACCTGACGTTGTTGCTAACACGGACTCTACCAAGAGCCGTGCTTCGCAGAATCTACCATCGGGTTGGAAACGCGATTCACTGAGAGGATACGTCGAGAAACTCAGTGGGCTGTGTCTGTGGGTTAATTTACTCGCGGAGCCCTTCGTCGCATGCGACGGGTTCGACGAGAACGATAACCAGTACCTGAGGTACATGAAAGCACCTTTAGTGGATCGGGAGGATCCGTGTTTCGGCCGACGTCGACTGTTTACCATTCGGCCCGCAGTATCGGGAGAAATTAAGGTATCTTACTCATAGATGACTACGCAAGTTACTGCCTAGCAATAGTTGCCTTCATGTGACGACGACCATCTTCAACGTAGATTATTGATCGTTAATTATAGCCTCAAAAGTAAAATAATCATAACTGTTTATAAATTTAGTACTTAAAAACAGTTTTAATGCATCGTCTCGCAGATCATTTTACTACACTTATCAGACTGTCATGTGTATTAACATTATGTGGAATAGTTACTGCTTTATTGCAGCTATCACGTACTGGGTATTGGCTCCATTACAATCCACTTACTATTTATGGCTTGTAAAAACGATTCTCTTATAGCTCCTTAGGGGAACTACGGGGTGTCTTCGATATACTCCTTTTGTAACCGGTTGATAAATTATGTTCATTATATTGTTTACGTCTTTGCCTTTATGTAACTAGCTTATAATTAGGAAATAATCACGTGATTTCTTAATTGTCTATTAAGATCTAAATAAATTATAATATTTTGTCCCAAGTCAAGATTAGTTTATGTATATTCAAAAGTTTTCATTGTATTACGTAGACATAATTAAAACTACTTTTACGGATTAAACTCGTGTTTTTTACTGATATTATATTATCTCCGACGTTTCGAAGGCTTCAACATTGTCGTAGTTCACAGACGACAGAGGCTTAATTCTTTATATAATGGTTGTCCAAGTCTTCAAACCGAAACAGATTACTAATTCACAACTGAAAACACTTACCATGAAGGCACCTG